CGCCTGCCGATGTTCACCCCTCGCGGACTGAAAGAGTGGAGTCGAGTATGAGAGGGAGAGGGGGAGGCAGGCAGGCAGGCAGGCAGGGAGGGAGGGGAGGAGACCAGGAGGGGAGAAGAATCATCACCAGAAAGGAGAAAGGGAAAGGGGGGGGGAGGCAGGAGGGGTGGTGGTGTAGAGGGGTTAAACGGCCGCGTTCAATTTCGTGGGGCCGCAATATCTCAGGGATGATGCAGCCGCCCAATTCCAGCCCGCCGCGCCGCGCCCCTCCCTAGAGCGAGCACGCCACGCCATGCGGTTTGTCGCCGACAAGCCCACAGCGTACACAGTGCTAGGGGATGATGAGAACCAGCGACGACAAAAAAAAAATTACCACACACTGCTTAACTTTGTGCCGCGACCGTATATAGTGCGCAGACTCTGTGGACAAGGCAACTCTGAGATTGACGCTTCGATTGGAGAGGAAAGTTCATATTGAGGTAGCATCAGTTGTCGAACACATTCATCGAAGTGGCTTAATATTTATTGGGAAAAATAGTAAGGAAGTGCTGGTTGGCGCTACTCAATATGGAGTCGTACATTAAGAATTAGATATATCACATAAAGTAACTGCCTTAGAAAACAAAACTGCTAAAAACTGAAGAGAAATAACAGAGAACCCACCATAAGATTTCAAACGGAAATCTCTACTCCCAGTGGGAAGCGCAATATCGAATCGACGTCGAATGGGCGTCAAAATTGGATTCCGTCGATTTTGAGCCCAAAAAGACGCCAAACCGACGCCTTTTTGCCATAGACGAAAAGACGCAAACCGATGAAAAACGATCTCGACGTAGATTCGACGTCGGTTCGATATTGCATTTCTCACTGGGACACTTTCTTTTAAAGTAACTACGTCGTATAGGGCTGTTTAATTTTCAGTTGGTCAGGTCCCCCCTCTCCCCTCCCAAAAAACAAACAGCATAGCATGATTTAGCTATCCCCCTAAATCATCTCAAATGTGCGAGATCACCACTGCACATCACACATCAGAGTATTTTGTGCATCACACTGCGTGCTAACAGCTTGGTTCCCACTCACACGTAAAATACCTGACGTGGACGGGTCGTGGACCCTCTTTCGTATAGCCCATTGGTTTTCAAAATCACAGTCATGTTTGCAGAGTCGCGGGAGCACGAGTCGTTTCGCCTCTTAACGGCTCTGAGACAGCTCAGCTGCAGCGTTCATAGACAAGAAGGGGAAACCGTCAGTCACTGTCCAGCTTCCGCTTCAGCAGACCCTGCCTCAGACTGAGATCCGCTGCCTACAGGAGAAAACTGACACTAACACGCAGACAACACTCAGCAGTCTGCATGCGGTCAGTCGTACGTCTGTTGCGCTGGTCAGTCAGTCTATGACTAGCTTCCTGAAGGACCCTTCAACTGAGACGTCCTGCAGCACTGATGCCGATTGCGGCATCTTCTTCAGCCTCCTGCTCTCATCGGACTTGCTGATCTTCTCCTCCTCAGCGAACCACTTTTGGTAGCCTTCGAGCTTGCTGCGCCATGCATCTGCAAGAGCACAAAGTAAAGGGCGGTTCAATAGTTTTGTTTTGTCTGATTTCTCAAAAAGACGCATCTTCGCAAACTTCAAACGAACCATTAAGCTCCTGGAAGGTGCCGGCTGTGCCGCCGTACTCGTTTGGCAGGATCTCCGGATCAACGTGGCGCTTTAGTTTGTCCAAGTTAGAGTGGAAGAAGAACTGGAAAAAAATAAGAGAGGTCGCAAGAGCTCAGACGAAATTGGGGGGAGGGGGAATGTTCACTAAAAAGTCGTACTATACTTAGTGGCTGATTCACACCGCGCACTTCTGTGGTTATGCTGTATACTGCATGCACGAGTGCGGGCGGGCTTGCCTATCGCTCCCATCCACGGCGCCTTACGAGCCGAGCGAGTAGTAGACAACCCGCCCGCACACGTGCATGCATGCGTTACAGCATAACTATAGAAGTGCGCGGCACGAATCAGCCACCTGGTATGTAATGGTGTCCAGTCGCGAACGCGTGTCTTACCTTCTTGACGAGTTTCTCCTTGAGCAGCGGGGTAAAAGCGGCGGCCACCTTGTCGACGATGGGCATGCAGTTAGTGAAGTGCACCTGCCAGTAAATGTGTTCGTCAGGAGATGTTCATCAATCGTTCAAAATATCGTTTAAAACCAGGCAGAGGCCACAGGGAGCTATTGGGAGTGCAGCTGGCCACCCAGCCAGCCGGCACGTCGAATGAGTGGCCTACCCTCCCGGCGCTCGCTCGCCACAAACCTGGTGCAGGCGGAGAGGGAAGGCGTCCTGGACGCAGAGCATCGCCTTGCGGACTCCGGCCAGAGTCGGGGAGAACCTAGCGAAGTGTTGAAGGGTGAAGCCCTGGGGGAGAGAGCAGAAAGAGAGCACGGAGCAAGGTGAGCGGGGAGCGCACAGTTGAGCCTCATCGCCGCCGTCCGTGGAACGCTATCGAAACGCACCTGGAAGTCGACCACCATGATGTTGGACAGGCACTTCTCCTCCTTGAGCCTCACGTCCAGGCACATGACGACGCGTTTGGTGAGCTCCTGCAAGATGAACTTGTCCACGTCGGTGTTGTTGAGGCGGAAGATGGTCACGCGGTATCCCTCGGAGGTGAGCTTGGGCAGGACGAAGTACGACCTGGAGGCACAGAGGTTTCCGCATTGATTGCTTTCTAGCCTTCTTACGAGGAGCGCGTGCGCTGAGTGGTTGGGCGAGTGACTTGCAGTCTGGCGCCGAGGCACGCGCGGCTCTAGCTAGGCGCTAACATGACGACCTCGCGCGCGACCAAAATTTGCGGCTTGGTACTAGCCGATTTACTGGGCATTCCCGGGCAGCGTAATGTTGGTAAGCATTCTCTAAAACCTATTAGCTGTGACAGGGTTTAAAATAATCACAAGATAATCATAGCATAGTGCTGGACTTCGATCTGCAGCCGGGCTCATGGTGAGTGGTGACTCTACTAACAGAATTTCTGCCCCCCTTCTTTGCCCCCTTCGCTCTGTTTGACATTTCTGGAAAGACGACATCATCGCTTTTAGTCGTCACTTGATCGCGCGCGCGACGACCCTAGGACCTGTTCTCAGAAGACTTGAAAAATAAAAAGAGAAATGGACCCCCCATAGTTAAGTTAAACCACGCTGCGTATATAATAGTGACATTTGTCTTAAATTCATAAATATACGTGACCTTTAAAATTGGCACGCATTTTAGTTAGGGCGCGTTGTGATAAAGAAAGAAAACAAACTTAAACATCTCGAATACGCGACACGGTTGAACTTTCAATCCGGGCGGTCCCAATAATTTTTGAAATAAAAGATGTTCTGACAACAGGTTTTCTAGGAGCCCAAAGAAGCGGCGCGGCGCCACGAGCCCAAGCCCACAAGTTCAAGTTCAAGTTCAACGAGCGCGTCACTAACGCCTCTCGGTCTGAGAGGAGCGAGGGTCAAGAAGGCGCTCTGCGAACGACGTCCCTAGATACTCACATGTCCTTAATGTTCCGCTGCACCTCGTCCGAGAGCGGGTCCCTGTTGCAGAAGATGTCCGGCGAGGTGGCCCTGACGCGGTAGTACGTGTCCAGGACGTGCTTGGTACGTTCCAGAGAAAACTTGCAGCCGTACAGGAAGCGCTCCAAACGTTCGTCCTCTGCAAAAAAATATTTTTTGAGAAATCTCAATCAAGAATCGACGACTGAAAGCAGAAGATGATTTCATCTTAGAGCTATGTGCTACATTCTTTCTCCGTTGCTGATTAATTCTGACAGCAAACAGTTCCAGATTAGAAGAAATCAGAGGGTGTAGGACCTGCTACTCGTGGTCGTGCAATACACGCGACACCTCGGCGTACAGGTTTGATTCGCCCCGCCCCCGCCCACCTCCTATGGCGACCCCAAGGTTGAGAACCGCTGTCCTATGCCGTACCTCATGCACGCGTGCGTGCGGGTTGCCGACCCTCTCCTCTCGGGTTCGCGAGCCGCCGATGAGGTCGGAAACAAATCATTATTGACCAACCAGTCCGCACGTGCGCGGCCCGCTCACCAGCGGCAAAAGTAAGACAGCGCGGACGATTAGCCACACCGCGGCCGCCTGCACTTGTTCGTGCACGACGTCGAGGTGCTGCAGCCGTATTGCAGCACAGCACCCCTCGGCAGAAGTGCGCGGAGCAGACGGGCGTCACGCACGCACCGCGCACCGCACGCTCGGCCTCAAAGAACTATGTTATCATCACGGGTATCACGCCTGGTAAGTTCCAACCAACCGTGTTAAGCGTTCTAATGTGTACGCTGGTCGGTGTTGCAATCTCAAAACATCCCCAGGGCTCTCGGCGTGCGTCACGGTTGGCCGCGCCCCCGGGCAGCCCCCGAGGCCCCCGGCAGCCCCCGGCTGCGGTGGGTGGAGGTCGGAGAGGCCGCGGCGAGCCGCACCACTTGCGCTATATACTCACCCATGTGGCTGGGAAGGTGCGGCTGCTTCTTGAGCCACTCGCGCAGCCGCTTCACGTCATCCTTGGTGATCTCGGGGTCCTGGTCGAGCTCCTGCTTCATGCGCTTGAGCTGCTCCGGCGTGGGCGGCTCCAGCGTCATCCTATAGTGCAGACAGAGAGACAGTCTCGGTTGAGCGAATGGTTCGACCCTCGGCCGCCGCGTCGTGTGGTTGTCGGGGCCGTAGGCCGGCAACGCCCCCTGCGGGTGCCGAGGGCGGCTACACGTGCGACTCGACTCGACTCGGCCCCCCGAAGGCTGTCGACTTTCTTCTCTCATGGCATGGCATGGCTCTGCGCGTCTCTCCCTCCCAAGGCTGACCGTATGGCCGTGTGTCGCGCGGGCGTGTTTCCGGCGTTGACCGTTTCTTCATAAGTGGATAAGCCCCCCTCCCCTTCCTGTACGACTCGTCTCCACCCCCGAGGGTCCCGCGGCCCGCGCCCCGGTGCGGGTGGTGGGGCCCATACTGGGCCTCTACTGGCCCCTGGGCCCTGGCGCGCACGGCCTTGACGGCGGGGCGGCCACCACGCGCTCAGCCATGCATGCACGGCTTCTGCAGATGCTGTAATCAAACAGGTGGGGCAGAGAGAGAGGAGGGGGCGTGCCGCCGCTCCGCGATACCGACAAAGTAACTTGCTCGTGGAGCAACGCGGAGGGGAGGAGCCGCGGGTGAAAGTGGACGGACACAATTATTTGAAAGACCGGTGGCCGTTGAGAAATCGTTTTTGTAATTGACAACATTTCATTCAAGTCCCCGCTTCACGGCACGCGGCCGCTAGCAGCAATCGGTCGCGTTTGTCGGAGAGCGCTGCGTATGGTGCTCCCCGCACAGTCTATATACTGGTTCGTAGACGATGACAGACACGTGACTAGTTTTAGAGTCGGCTCAGTAGGTCGTTTCACTGGAAAAGACAAAGGTGTAAAATCGGGTGCTAAAGAAATGTTCATTAGTCCCAGTGCCTCGGTACCACCAGCTGGCTGATTCACGCCGCGCACTTCTGTAGTTATGCTGTACCGCATGCACGAGTGCGGGCGGGTTGCCTACTCGTTTGGCTCGTAAGGCGCCGTGGACAGAGGCGATAGGCAAGACCGCCCGCACTCGTGCATGCGGTAC